TGATAGGGCTGATGTGTTGACTACTTGCTTATCACGGATATTGGATAAGCATGCTCCTCCGAAGTCTAGTTCTGTTGTCATTCGGTCCAACTGTGGCTGGTATAATGGACATCCGCAAGCAGAAACATATATGCCGTGCAGCTGAAAAAACAATGGCGACATTCAAAATTGGAAATTCATCGCCAGCTCTTCAAAACTGCCAGGAATAATGTCAATAAAGCTTCAGCAGCAGCCAAACGAGCATCTGTATGCACCTCAATAGAACGCAACTGCAGCAATTTCAAGGAATTATTTTCCTTGTTTAACAGTCTCTTGAAGCGGGGTACAAATTATACTCTAGCCAACAGACTTGCAGATGTTTTCCACGCCAAGATATGGGATATACGTCAATAACTTGACATTAGACGTACTCTGCAGAATCAGGTTTTCTATGAGAAATGTCTCATTGGTACATATTTGTCTGAATTCTCCTTAACCTATCCGGCAGAAATAAGACAGGTTATATCCAAAGCTAAAGCAACTTCTAGCCTAGAAGCCATACTAACATGGCTGTTTAAAGGAAGCTTGGATTCTCTCATCAGTCCATTATCCAATGTTGTCAACAGCTCATTGAGGGATGCCACGGTTCCCAAAGTTTTCAAACAGGCAGTCGTTACTCCTATCATTAAAAAGGCCAATATAAATCCGGATGAGTTAAAAAACTACCAGCCAGTATCTAATCTGTCTCTCATTAAAAAAAGTGTGGAGAAAATTGTTTCAACATGGCTTGAAGAACACCTACTCAATAACAACCTGCTTGAACCATTCCAAGTGCTTACAAATCCAAACATAGCACAGAGACTGCGCTTCATGTCCATAACGACGTCATGAGGGCAATGGACCAGCAGCATGTCACCCTCATGGTCCTTCCTGATTTATCATCAGCCTTCGACACCCTAGGCCACACCATGCTTCTTTCTCACTTGGAGGAAAGACTCGGTGTTACAGGAAAGCTCTTTCTTGGGTCAAATCCTATCTGTCCACCAGAACAGGTTGTCAAGAATGGCGAAGTTACCTCACTTCCGACAACAGTTAACGTTGGTGTCCCGCAGGTTTCAGTTCTGGGCCCTTTGCTTTTCAGCATATCTATCTTTCTAATAGGTGATATAATCAGGAAACACAGTTTGATGTTTGATCTCTATGCTGACAACAATCAGATCTACATATCGATAAAGCCATCTGATACCACCTACTGGAATCAGTCAAATTGAAGCTTGTGTGAGCAAGGTTAGATCCTGGATGACTGCGAATTTTCTCAAATGAAATGACAGTAAAACATAATTTCTACTACTTGGTCCTGAACAGAAGTTTTTGAAATTGCCTGCAGGTCTGTTGCTTAACATTGGCTACAGCAATGTTGGAACCATTCCATCTACAAGAAATCTTGGAATCATATTTCAATCCTGCATGTCCCTCGAAAAAGTCAAGAACCTAGGCAAAACTTGCTTCTTCCACATTCACAACATCAGTATAATCCGCCATCTTCTTGACCATGAAATGACAAAACTTCTTGTGCAGACGCTCATCACATCACGACTGGATTATTGTACCTCCCTTTTCTTCCACATTCCTTTATCTCTGATCACAAAGTTACAGCGAATCCAGAATGCAGCAGCAATGGTTGCAACGCGCACGCCTCAAACTGAGAATATAACACCTATCCTGAAGGCCCTCCACTGGCTGCCAGTGAATTTCATGATTCAATACAAGATACGTCTTCTAGCCCAAAATTGTGTCAATGATCAACCATCAACCGAGACCAAGGATACTCCATTCCGCCCTTATATGATGCACTCTTCCACCAAGCCCAATCAACTGTATAAACTCCATTGTATAAACAGCACATTACTTGTACATCATTGGCTTCCATGCGTTCCATTTGTCTAACTCACTGGCTTCACCAGCTTACTGCCCTAGCCAATGATGTTTTCTATGTTACCCCACCCTTCCTTCTTCATGTACCATTTATGCTTGACAATGGTACAGGAATCTGTGTCGAAACGTCGCACCCACGAATAAAAGAAGTTGTTATCCATAAAGTGTGCTCTATATTGCCTCCCCTAGCGTCTACCACTGCCTGACATCGACGTCCCATGGAAGCAGTCAAGTTACGAACAGTTAGTCGGGGAATGTTCCTCCATTCCTGCTGGAGAGCCTGAAGAAGTTCCTGATGAATCTTGGGTTGTGGGCGACGTTGGCGTACCCCTCGGTAAAGGACATCAAAGATGTTCAATGGGGGATAGGTTCGGCGATCTGGCAGGCCATGGCAAGATGATGACATTGTTAGCATGCAGGAAGTCCATCGAAACAACTCGTGCAACATAAGGTCTGGCGTAGAACTTGCTGGAACACGCCGCCATGACGTCTTTAAAATTGCACGACGTGGGGCTGCAAGACGTTATCTCTGTATTGCACCGCATTCAGGTTCCTATGAATGTGCACCAACTCTGTCCGGAAGTGCTTTGATGACGTCAAGGATCAATGTCCAACAAGTTGAAATTAAACGACTCTAAAACTGAATGTTTGCTGATTGGATCCCCAAAAAAAAGTCAGACTTGAACTTGAAATCAGACTTGAACTCTCACGTTTGGACAGTGCACCATTCCCTTATTAGAAGTCGTCAGAGATCTTGGGGTCATCATCGATCCAGTGCTCAGTCTCGTAGGGCACGTGAACCTGCTTGTCAAAAGGTCATATTTTCAACTCAGGAACATCGGGAGCATCCGACAATATCTGACAGTAGACTCCACCACCTGGTTCTTTCCCTCGTCTTCTCGAGACTTGACTATTGTAATAGTGTCCTCTTTGGTGCTCCTCTGTCACCTTACAACTTATGGTCAACGATCATTTGCCTTGCCTGGAACTCTCTTCCTCAGATGATCCGTCTCTCAGGAACTCTATCAACTTTCAAAACAAGCCTTAAAACCCATTCGTTCAGACAAGTATAGTATCGTTGTAAATACGACAAAACAGGGGATGTAGCTTTCTGTCATTTATTCTCCGGGCCAGAGCCTAACTGGCGAACTACGTTCGGACCTCCCGTGATATCCTTCGCCGCTGACCATGTCGGGTCATCAAGCGGTCATCCCAAGACTCCTGGTAGCTGAGTCTCCCCGGCAAATACATACATTAATATATTATGTCTATTCTACACATGTACTATGTTCTTAATTCTACGTTGCCTACTTTGTCACACTATACAATAATTATGTTTCATTTACAACATTTATAATAAGCACACTTACATGTATGTATAACCATTAATTCATATATCTAATAATGATGATAGTATAATATCATCTATACCATCACTACGATACAAGCTTTCCCCCCCTGAATCTTCTCTCTTTTATAATATACATATATTCCATTTCAATGTCAAATATGTTCTCGTCACGATATGACTGAAATATTGCCGATGTGGCGTTAAATAATAACTCACTCACTCCTTCGTCGCACTCACTCACTCTCAACTGTGCGCTTTCATCATGCATTGAACGTGGAACTAGCGCTGTAAAATGGACTGTTATGTTATGTTATACGGTCGCAATTTACAAACCGATTCACCAAAACTTTTGAATGATTCCTACATCCGTTTTTTACAAAGATGGCGACCTGTCAATCAAGCGAGAACGCTAGCTTAGATTACGGCGAATTTCTGGCCGCAAAAATGAGCAGAGCATCCGCAGTTATAACAGTGATCCATCTGATTTTCAGAAACGTCCGTACGCTTCTATCATACACGGCAAGGGTGACAACAATTCTACTGTATCAACATACTTACACCAAGAACACTACCTGTGAGCTCTACCACTCTACCTCGTGTACCTTTCTTGAAGCAACTTGAAGTGCACAACTCACAAGTGAATGTGTACAATTACTTTAGTACCCCCGATACTTAGCATATGACTTAAAAAACAAATGATTTAACCAAACTCTTCGACCTAGCCTACATTCTAAACATGTAGCTCTAACATTGATCAATTGATGAATAATAGAAAAGTAGCAACTTCTTTATTTATAATGATGCGACGTTTCGTAACAGCATCTTATACCGTTGTCAAGCAAGTGAGTGAGTGAGTGAGTTTGGTTTTACGCCGCTTTTAGCAATATTCCAGCAATATCACGGCGGGGGACACCAGAAATGGGCTTCACACATAGTGCCCATGTGGGGAATCGAACCCGGGTCTTCACCGTGAAGAGCGAACGCCTGCACCACTAGGCTACCCCACCGCCCGTTGTCAAGCAAGAGGTATAAGAGGTGAGGTAAGGTGAAATTGGGTTTAACGTCGTGCTTGAAAATATTTCGCTTATATGACGACGTGCGTGCGTGTGTATGTGTATGTGCGGCTGCTTGTACTAGCCCAGACGTAAGCTGGTTTTATAGCGCTAGCCCACTGAGATACCAACCGCTGTGAAGCATGAATACCCCACTCAGACACATTATACTGACTCCAAGCCGACCAGTCCTTGTTGTACCGAATCATTGAGATTTCATTTCCTGTTGTAGCATGTCATGAGTAATGTATGCTCAACAGTTAAAGTTGCGGCACACAAACAAGAAACAAGTCAAGGTTAAACCTTTCTGCTGCGAATAAAATGACATTACAGAAGATTCTTATGTATTATTTTTCTGCTTTACTGATTAAATATACTAAACAAAAATAGTTAGGGATGTATGTAAATTTGAAATTATGAATAATGATCTATTTATTCATTGACACACTGATAAAATATTAATCATAAAAATACCTATTTCCCTAACTTATTTTGTCCAGTATATAATATGCAGCAGAAAGGGTTCTGGTGATCCTGGCACAATCAGGCTGGTAAGGCTCATCATCAGCTCAGGGCCCTTGCCTCCTCTATAAGCAGCACAGACAGCGAATGGGACTTCTCCCAGGGTTAACGATTAACAGTTCAGGCATTATCAACTGAGTGACACATAAAGTTGAGTCAATATTTACAACCAAATGTAGAACAAAGGAAACCTGGGATGACTAAACACCCGGAGGAGGAAAGAAGGAAACAGATATTTTTATTTGTGAGTTGTGTATTTGAGAGTGCAGACTACTACCAATTTCTATTTCAGACGGGTTTCGACAAGCTTGAGGTAAGTTGAACATGGTCCGATCTCTTGGGAAGAAAAGGAATTACATTCAATTTCATCATAAACCGTTACGGAATTATGTTACACATGATGCAGTGAATTACAGAGGAAATATGATAAATATGTACATACACAGAGCATTAATTAAGGTCCACCTGAATCCAAAGGGCTGGGAGAAGAAGGAAATCAAAATGATGATGGTCTCAAACAGATAGTTTTATTTGTGGGTTGTGTATTGGAGATTGCAGACCAGTGCCAGAGCATTTTGTTTCTATTTCAGACAGGTCATGACAAGCTTGATATAACTGGAACATTGTCTGATCTCTTGGGAAGAACAGGAATTGTATCCAATATCATCGAAAAA